TAAATACTTTTTGAATAAGTTTTAACCATGTCAAAACATTTATAATAATTATTCAACATTTACAGAAGTATTTTTGAATAAACACAACAGATTCTTTAAATTAATGGATTCATTATTATTCTAGTATATTCATCAATCATTAATAAAAATTGTATTTGATTCATAAAATTTGATAACCTTTTGATAATAACTTTATTTAGTATAACCAACATCTTTAATAATTAGATCACATTAATTACCTTTTGAGGACATCAACTATAAGCATCATCAGCCCAATGGACCGTTTCTTGTTCATTAATCCTAAAAGAAAAGAATAATTAAAAATAGAAATAATAAATATGGGGATTATGCTGAAATTTGGATCATGCTGAAATATTATATAAGCTATATGAAAAGACATTTAAAAATAAAACCTCTAAACCCTAACCCTAGCAAGGTCCTAACCCTAACCCTAAAAAAAAATTATAAATATATTATAATAATATAAATACCATTTCAAACAATAAATAATTTTCAAAATTTATAATCTTTTAGTATGTATACAACACGTTCTAAATATGGATCCCAACTATTATATTCAACTTGGACGTCCATTTTTTTACATCCATTTTCATTATTCCACAATTTTGAACTAGCTGATTTTTTTTCATGTTGTCGTCTTTCAAATGTCGAAAATCGACCAAAACTCGACTATTAACCCATACATAAGGGTTGTCTAATGATAATAGAATCTACTTGTAAATTATCAACCAGCTTAAATTTTCTGAAGTTTTTATTTTGATTAATGTCAACTGCAATATAATACCTTCAGCACTTTCACTTTCAGATATATCAGAATCTATTTCCTTATTAATGTCAGAATTATCAACATTCTCAGAAGAGCTCGGTACCCCATATGCAAACGTTTTATATTCGTTGATTGTCGATTGCGGTTCATTCATAAAAATATTCTACCTGTAATGTTGGGAATGTATAAATTCAAAAAAAAATAGGCACCTAATTAACTTTTTTTTAACAAAAAAAAAAAAAATTCATGCTTAACAAGTGTATGTACCAAATATGTTTCAAACGAGAAGTATTGATGTGAAATATCACGTTTATATATTTTTAAGCTTTGTAATAAGCTTATATTAACTTTTCGATGTTATAAACATTAATTAACGGTAATATGATGACGTATGATTTTAATTTAGATAACCCGTTGTGACGTAAGAATATACACGAATGAATCGCGATTTC